ACACACACACACACACACACACACACACACACAAAGACATAAAGGAATAAATGTAAATGTAATAAACAGTAGTAACCAGTGTTGGGCGCATTACAAGTAACTAGTAAAGTAATGCATTCGTTTTTAATTTACAAGAAAATAACTAATGCAAGTTACTTTGTTTCCCATGTATTGAATGACAGCTCTCGTGTTGCCATGTTGAGAGAAATCAGGAGTGAGTGCAGAGGCGTTGTGTGCGCTGTGTGAACATGCACAAAAATAGATTCAGTATTCCTCAAAATCAATAAAAACAGTCAAATGCAAACCTCAGGAATATGAGGTAAACATGCAATTAATTAAATATGTGAATTTACATTTCCTTCAGCCTGAGGCATATTCATTTCACCTTTGGTGTCAAAGGGCTTTTACAATAGCTAAAAATAAAACTTTTTATATTAAAAACAATCAAGCAAGCCCAGCCCAGGTTTAAAAAGTAATGCGAAAGTACCGTAAACGTAACACATTACTTTTCATAAAAAGTAACTAAGTAATGTAATTAGTTACCTTTTTAAGGAGTAATGCAATATTGTAATGCATTACTTTTAACTTTCCCCAACCCTGGTGGTAATTGTGGTATTTTGGCAGAAACTTGGCTGACCAATGAAATTAGACTGGAGGCGGAGCTTCCTAATGCATTGGTGTATATAAGCAGAAAGCAGTCGTTCCGTATGACAGTCACGGCAGGTTCAGACAGAATCTCACACTCATTTGAACACCAGCAGAACATCATCTCTACATCACTGTCTCTCTTCAGATAAAGCCCTGGATCAGTGCTCTACACGCACAGCACAGCATTCTGGGAAATCTCTCAGAGATCACACAGATCCGGATCTCAAGACTAAACCTCACAAACGCACATCCTCTGAAACAAATGCTTTCTCACTCACACACACACACACACACACACACACACACACACACACACTCTCGCTCGCGTGCACACACACACTCACACACACACACACACACACTTACCGGGCTGCAGCAGGATGAGTTGAGCCATCGCCTGACTGTTTCCCGCCTCGTTCTCAGCGATACACTGATAGAAACCCTCGTCTGAGCGAACCAGACCCAGAATCTGGAGATGACCGCCCTCCTGCAGACCACACACGGGACAATCATCAGACTTCAGGACCTTCTCACATGTGAGCTTAAATGGGCTCACGCACTTATGATATATTAGCACATTACAGAGAGAGAGAGAGAGAAAACTACAAAAAAAACTAACAATAAGTTTCTCGTAAGATATTTCAATATGAATAGAAGTAATACATTAAAATAAAAATGATATAATTAATAATAAAAATAAATAAACATGAATGAATACATACAAATAAAAAATTAAAACAATTAAATAAAATAAATATGAATAATAAATACATAAATAAATAAATAGATGATGATGATGATTATGAATGACTGAATTAATAAAAATAAATGAATAAATACATGCATGAGAACCAGTGAATGAATAAGGAAGGAACGAACAAATAAATAAATAGGAATGAATGAATGAATTCGACGTGTACTGTGTTAAGCTAACTGAGACTTGTTATAGCACTTGCATATTATTGCTCTTTTGTTGATTTTGATTGCTTCATTGTCCGCTTTTGGATAAAAGCGTCTGCTAACGACTAAATGTAAATGTAAATTCTAATCCTAGTGATCTGAACCAAACAAACTTCCTCCTGATTCTGAAACACTAGCTGTATTTCTCACCACGATCTGGAAGTAGTCGCTGGGAATGACGGCCTCTCCGTTCTTCACCCAGCGGACGGTGGGCTGCGGGTTTCCCGTCACGGCACACTCCATCTCGATGTCCGTGCTTTCATATGCATACGTGTTCGACGGGTAGCTGAGGAACTGAGGCGGCACTGAGAACAGAGAGAGAGACACCATAAACATCACAGGATCATCACACGCATCTGCATTAGTGTCATCATCAAACTCTAGAGGAATCTAGTATGATTTGAGTCTTTCATTCAATGTCTGATGCTTTGTTGTTTTCCTCATTTGTCTGTTAAATGAAGAAATGTAAATGTGCATGAAATATAATATACAGTATATTAACTGCTGTATTCCTCAATTGTAAGTCACTTTTTATATAAGCATATTTTAAATAATAAAATAAAATAAAATGTTGGTGTACTCCTCATTTGTAAGTCGCTTTAGATAAAAGCATTTTCTGAACAATAAAATAAAAAATGAAATGAGATAACATGAAATAAGATAAAACAAAACAAAATAAAATTATATAAAAAAACTGTTGCATAATAAAATAAAAACTTTTTGTATTCCTCATTTGTAAGTTGCTTTAGATAAAAGCATTTTCTGAACAATAGAATTAAATTAAATTAAATTAAATTAAAAAATAAAATGAAATGAAATGAAATAAGATAAAATAAAATAAAATAAAATAAGATAAAACAAAACAAAATAAAATTATATAAAAACTGTTGCATAATAAAATAAAACCTTTTTGTATTCCTCATTTGTAAGTTGCTTTAGATAAAAGCATTTTCTGAACAATAAAATAAAATAATAAAACAAAATAAAATAATATAAAAACTGTTGTATAATAAAATAATAAAACAAAATAAAATAAAATAATATAAAAACTGTTGTATAATAAAATAAAAACTTCTTGTATTCCTCATTTGTAAGTTGCTTTAGATAAACTGAAAATAATAAAATAAAATAAAATAAAAGTTTGTTGCATTTTTAATTTGTAAGTTGCCTTTGTAGAGTGCTTCAAATCGCTCACTTCTGAGGGTCCACTGCAGTGAGGACGCTCCCTCAGAAGGCAGCAGACTATGTAGACCGCAGACAGCTGACTGTAGTGTTTATATGAGAGCTCGTGTGAGGAGACTGACACAGCAGTCTGGAATATGAACATATCAGCAGCAGACAGAGGATCTGAACTCCTGCTTCACATAAATCAAACTCAGCCAATAAATCAACATAATCTGGTCAAATCTGCAGCCACAGCGGAGCAGCTTAACCTGAGAGAGACCGACACAGATCCACACACATCAAAGCGTTAAACGAGCTGGGATGGTGCAGATGGACGTATGTCATGAATAAAGTCAAAGCACAGACTGCAGAGAATGAAAGGCTCATTTCAGCAGGAAAATGACGTATCGATCGGCCTCATCTCAATAATAGTCTGAACGCTCATCTTCAGACGGCCAGCATCGGCCTGATTGGAATGAGATGGGTTTGTGATGTTTGTCCACTTTAAAGAAGAGAAATGAGTGAGACGCTGCAGAAGAGCCAGAAACAAACCACAGCAGAACGAGACCATATGAGTTATTATTGAAAATTACCCAACATTAAAATATTCCTTTTCATAATATCATGTTAATTTATATTCATTACACAATACTACACATATTCATTGAGCTCAGCTGAGTTAATATTTATTTTCAAAATATTGGTAATTACTGAAAATGACAAAAAAACTTGAATTATCTTAATGTTGCTTTGATCATTTAGATGCTTATATGATTCTTTTTCATTTCTTCTATCAAAATATACTGGAAACAGATGGAGATGATGCTTTAAGACAGGCTCAAACAATCATATTAAATATATTATTATTATTATTAATATTTTATATGCACATTTATTTTAATATTATTATTATTATTATTATTACTATTGAGTAAAATAAACATTGAATTATTGATAATTATTCATTTATAATTAAATAATAATATTAATTATTATTATTATTATTATTATTATTGAGTAAAATAAATATTGAATTATTGATAATTATTCATTTATAATTAAATAATAATAATAATAATAATTTTTAATTATATATCATTCAAAATAAAACATTCATTTTAATAATAATAATAACAACAACAATTATTATTATTATTATTATTATTATTCATAATATTCAGTAAAATAAATATTGAGAATTATTTACTTAAATTATAATGACTGAATTGTTGAAACAAATTCAATAAAGCTGCACTGATACTTTTGATTATCATATTAATATTTTAGAATTCTTGTGAGTGCTGTCTAACCATGGAGGTAATGAAGAAGTGTGTCGTCTACTAAGTGCACTCAGAAACCAGCAGCCGCTTCAGCTGCTTATATCTGATAGTATGGTTACACAGAATGGTGAAACCCATAACTAGTTAAGATGCTTAACATGACTAGTTAAGGATCGAAACTATCCTTCAGTCTGAAAAACACAAACAAACGGATGCAGAGAGCCAGAGATCAGACGAATAAGATCAGACAGACTCAGACAAACACAAACACAGAAACACATGAGAATATTCCCTCTGAACTCAAACCACACGCACTCGTCTGAGAAACTATTTCAGTTCATTACATCTGACAAACCAGCTCCACCGGCACAGAAACTGAGTTTGAACCACAATAAAAAAATATTTTACAAAGTAATTGTGACTTTATATCACATGATTCAGACTTTCCTCCTCCTAATTCTAAGGGGGAAAAAAATCAGAATCAGATAAAAAGTCATTCTTTTTCATTTTTTTTTTATTTAATGAATTTACTTATTTTTTTCATGGTAAAAAAAAAAAAAGTGACTTTTGTGAGAGGTAAAGTCAGAATCGTGGCAGGATTGCAAGATGCAAGCTCACAATTATGAGTTTAAACTGCAACTGTAAGGTATAAACCTGCAATTTTCAGGGAAAAAGCTCAGAATTATGAGCTTAAAATGTCACAATTACCTTTTGTTTTTATGCCATAGTTTTCACATAAACATGCACCACAACAGCATGTAAAAACAACTGAGCTCTTTTACATGTCACTCAATCTTTTCCTTTGTAATCACACTGCAAAAAATTATTTTTACTCTCGTTTTCCAGTACAATTATCTAAATTTCTGAATCTAAATCAAGATACTTGAGAAGCAAAATGACAGAAGATGAGGAGTCCTGTTTTCTGAAACCAAACGTGTCTTGATTTAAGAATCTTTCGGCATTTGCACTGGAAAACAAAGGATAATAACTATCAAATTTTAACTCGATTTAATTTTAATTGTTCCAATTAAAATTAAATTGTTCCAATTAAAGTAAGAGAATAAGCGAGGCCACGGCATGGTTTGAAATAAAAAAACATCTTAATGCTGGATTAGTTTCAGCTTTTGTCTTCTCCAGATGTTAACTGATGGACTGGAGTGCTGTGGATTACTTGTGATGTTTTTATCAGCTGTTTGGACTCTCATTCTGACGGCACCCATTCACTGCAGAGCATCCACTGCTGAGACACTGATGCAATGCTGCATTTCTACAAACCTGATGAAGAAACAAACTCATCCTGATCTCAGATGAACTGAGGGTGAACACATTTACAGCACATGCTCATTTTTGGGTCAACAATTTCTTTAAGTAAATCACTGTTTATCTGAGCTTTATTGCACTAATTAAACCCAAACGATTTCCATTGAAGCGGGCGTCTCCTCTATCACCGGCGGGTTTGAACTAACTCACCAATTACAACGGATTAAAAACCACCAAACAGCAGTAATGATGCTCTCAACATACTCAATTACAGCATATAATGAAATCAAACACACTTCTGACACATTATGAGACTCAGAGCAGCGGGAAGATGCTTCTTAAAGGGACAGTTCACACAGAAATCATCATTTACTCCCATCATGTCTCTCAAACCTGTATGACGTTTGTTCTGCGCGACTCAAAAGAGGATATTTTGAGAGTCTGAAAAACTATAATATGTTATTTTGTGTTCTTCAGATCAAAGCTGAATTAAATTGATCAAAAGTGACAGCAAAGACATTTTCTATTTTGTTCTTTTGAACTTTCTATTAATCAGAGAATTATTTAAAATTAATTTTTTTGCGATTTTACTGCATTTTTAGTATGCATACATATAGGTAACTAAAATTAAAGCTAAAACATCTTTGTTTGTTTTTAAATATAGTAAATGTTAACTGGAATAAATACATTTTTAAAAATATATGCATCTCTCAAAATGACATTTTTATCATTTATCAGTTTAATTTGAACTAAATTAACCAAACTGAAATAACTGAAATAAAAAAATTATAATTAAAAACTATTCAGGCATATAAAAATAAAAGATAAATGCACACGAAATTTCTAAAATTTTAACTAAAATGAAAATTACAATGGAAAATATAAAAATAAAAACTATAACAATAATAATATATGTATCCAACTCCCATCTATAAATGGAGCAGAGGCTGATGGGAAGCGTTTGACCTGATGGCTTCATGTCAGTGTGAAAGCGTCTGTCTATAGAGCGATTCATTCTCAACACACCTGAACGAACACAAACAACACGACCTGAACGGCCTAATGATGTCAAGTGATGAAAGGAGAGGATATTAGAATCAAAGAACAGCTCTGCTCACACACAGACACACACACACACACAGAGACACTCACACACGCACACACACACTCAGACACACACACACACACACACACTCTCACACACACACACACACACACACACACACACACACACACACACACACACACACACATTCTCACA